GACATGTTTTCCAGCTTAAACGTATTCGGGCCAACAACTTCCTGAATGCGATATGGCCCCTTCCACTTTGGTGCCAACTTCCCTTCCACAGCATTAGGACGAAAATCTCGTTTCAGCACAAGGTTACCCACAACAAGATTGTGCGCCCTCATCTTTTTGTTGTACTACCTCGCCACCTGGCTCTTCATTGCGACCAATCTTAGGGCTGCCACCTCCCGGCGCTCATCCAATAGGTCCAACTCGTCGATCCGCTCCTGGGCACTCATTGACTCGTCCCGGCGAGTCATTCGGAAAGTTGGGACTCGCATCTCCACGGTCAAAACAGCTTCGCTCCCATATGTCAAGGCGAAGGGTGTCTCGCCCGTAGCCACCTTGAACGTGGTTCTATGCGCCCACAGAACGTTCGGCAGCTCCTCCACCCACTTGCCTTTGGCCTCCGTCAGCCTGGTGTGCAGTCCATGTAATATACTTTTGTTGGCCGCCTCAGCTTGTCCGTTGGCTTGTGGGTAAGCTACGGAAGAGAACCTCAACACCACTCCATTCTCATCACAAAATTCAATGAATTTCTTACAATCGAATTGCTTTCCGTGGTCAGTGATGATGGACTCCGGGAGTCCAAATTGAGCAAAGATGTTCTTCTTGGTGAACTTCCGGACCTGTGACTCAGTGATCGATGCCAACGGCTCTGCCTCAATCCACTTGGTGAAATAGTCCACTGCCACGATCAGGTACTTGAATTGACCGGGCGCCTTAGGAAAGGGGCCCAAGAGGTCCATGCCCCACTATGCGAAGGGCCAGGCGCCTACATTACCTTGCATGGGCGCCGCTGGGATGTGGACATCGTTGGCGTGAATTTGGCACTGGTGACAAGCTGCCACATGTTTCGCGGCGTCCGCCCGTATGTTGGCCAATAATACCCTTGCCGGAGCAGAATTTTTTCTAGGCTTCGGGCGCCTGCATGCATGCCACAAGTTCCTTGATGGACTTCCTTGATCGCTTCCAAACCCTCACCTTCAGTTAGGCACCTCAGGTAGGCGCCCGAATGTGACCTCTTGTATAACACCCCATCAACTATGGCACATCAGGCCGCCTTCCTTCGCAAGCGCCACGCCTCTTTCGAATCCTCTGGTACTACTCATTGGGTGAGGAAAAGCCAAATTGGTGCCATCCATCCTTCCCTTTCCTCTGTTGCGAGAGATGCCATTACCATTTCCTCGTGCGGCACTTCCCTCTTCACAATCACCGTCCGACTTTCCTCAAAATCTAGAGCCGTTGCTAACTTGGACAAAGCATCTGCGTGGGCGTTCTCCTCTATGGGAACATGGGTGAACGTCACGCCCCGGAACCAGGCACACCTTTTGCGTACAGCATGCACGTAGGCTCTCAACGTCTCTTCCTTCACTTCATACACTTTGTTCAACTGGTTAACCACCAACGCCGAGTCTGTTTTGACATTCACCTTCTGGGCGCCTAGCTCTCTTGCAAAATGGAGTCTCGCAAGAACGGCCTCGTATTCTTCCGCGTTGTTTGTCTTAAGAGTAGCGAACCGCAATGCCACCTCATGCAAGGCGCCTAGCGGACTGACGAGGACTATACCAGCCCCTGCTCCTGCTCTGCTGGCCGCTCCATCAACATGCACCTGCCAACACTCCTCCACGCCGGCTCCCCCGTCAGCTACGCCTTCCGCCGTAAAATCTACCAATACTTGAGCTTTGATAGCTGGCCGGGGCGCATACTGTATGTCAAACTCGCTGAGTTGCACGGCCCACTTCACCAGGCGCCCGGACACATCCATCGACCCTAGTATCGACTTGAGGGGGAGATTTGTGAGCACTACGATACGGTGAGCCTGAAAGTATGGTCGGAGTTTGTTGGCGGTCATTACCACCGCCAACGCCGCTTTCTCGATAGGCGCATACCTTGTTTCGTGACCCACCATGGTGCGACTCACATAATACACCGGCTTCTCTTCGTTCGTCAATGGGTCTTTGGATATGAGGACCGCACTCACAGCGATGTGGGACACAGCTATGTACAAGTATAGCACTTTCCTAGCCTTAGGCGCCGTCATCACCGTTGGCGCCGTGAGCAGCTTCTTCAAATCCTCAAATGCCTCGTTACACTCATTGGTCCATCCGAACTTGCTAGCTTTTTTCAAAACTTTGAAAAAGGGGGCGCCCCGGTCGGAAGATCTTGGGATGAAACGCCCCAGCGCTGCTAGTCTCCCCGTCAACACTTGCACCTTCTTGGGCGTTCGCGGCGGACCCAAACTCATTATGGCCTCGACTTGCTTGGGGTTGGCTTCAAGTCCTCGACGCGTTATCATGAACCCCAAAAATTTCCCAGCCTCGGCCAAGAACACACACTTCTTGGGGTTAAGCCTTAACCAGAAGCGGCACATTGTTTCGAAAGTTTCTCGTAAGTCCAAAATGTGGTCTTGGCGCCTGCTTCTCTTTACGATCAAATCGTCCACATATGCTTCCACGTTCCTTCCCAATTGCTTACGAAAAACTTGGTTTACCATGCGCTGATATGTTGCCCCGGCGTTCTTCAATCCAAACGCCATCCCTCTGTAACAGAAATTTCCGAATGGAGTCATGAAAGCCGTCTTTGACATGTCTTCCTCCGCCATAGGTATCTGATGGTATCCTGAAAACATATCGAGGAAGCTAAGCGCCTCGTGATAAGCTGTTGCATCCACCAACAAGTCAATACGCGGCATGGGGTATGCATCTGTAGGGCATGCCCGATTAAGGTTGGTGAAGTCTACACACATCCTTCAATCTCCGGACGGCTTTGGGACAAACACCACGTTGGAAAGCCATGTGATGTACCTCGCTTCTTCCACAAATCCCGCTTTGAGCAATCTGTCGACTTCTCGGCGAAGTGCCTCCTCCTTTTCTTGTGACAAATTTTGGCGCTTTTGTTGAACAGGCCTTTTTCCTTCTTCTACGGCCAGCCCGTGCACCGCCACCTCAGGGGAGACTCCCGGCATGTCTTGGGCGCCCCACGCAAACAACTCCCCAAATTTCCGCAATAACTCGATCAAAGGCGCTCTCATCACCTCGGGCGCTTGTGCCGATATCCGCACTTGTCTCTCTGGGCGCCCCTCATCCAAGGCCACCACAAGTTCATCATCCATGGGCTCCGCCCTGGGCGCCTCTTCAAAGCGCACTTCAGCACTGTTGACTCTATGCTTGCGGACACGGCTCCTTGGTTCCTCTTCTCGCGCGTATCGTGGAACATTCCTTTCTCGGGAGATGCTGATACCCTGGGGCGCCACAAACTTCAGCGTTTGGTGACTAGTGGATGCCACCCCGTTGAATTGTGCTAGGAGTGGTCGTCCAAGTATCATGTTGTACGGGGAGGGACAATCCACAATCCCGAACTCCACCGTATGTGTCATGCAGTGCATCTCATCGCCGAGGGTCACGGGCAGGCGCACGCACCCGATGACTTGGGCTGGCGCTCCTGAGAACCCAATTAGCACCGAACTCGAAGGACGCACCAACTCAGGCGCTAGCTGCATGCGCTCAAACGTGCTTTTGAAGAGGACGTCCATCGAACTCCCGGTGTCCACCAACATTCTTTTCACCTTGCACCCTGCTATCACCCCTTGAATCTCCAAAGCCTCTTCCGAGGGGACTTGGCACGCTTCATCTGGCTCTTGGTTGAAATGGATGTGCACCGCTGTCCTAGCTTTCAAAGAGGCGGCCCTTAGGCGCCTTGTTCTTTCCAACTTCTCCCTCAAATCGAGGGTGCCTGTTATGGATTCCACCGTCAGCCTGATGCGCCCAGGCTCTCCTTGTTGGTCAACTTCAAACGGCGGAGGTGGTATCACTGGCTCTTGGTGAGACTTCCTATCCTGGTCAACCTCAAGCGGAGGTGGCGGTATCACGGACTCCTGTCGTTCCTTCGGCTCTTCGGGCGCTCTTTGGATCATTGTCGCCTCTGGCGTCGGCCTGGCCACATACGCCCTATGCATCCTGTCCTCCCCCTTCTTACGAAGTCGTTGAGCATGCCCTTGTCGGCCAAAGTCTGAAGCTCGGCCTTAAGTTGATAGCAATCAGCGGTGTAGTGCCCCTTGTCGCGATGGAAGTCGCAGTATCTGTCAAGGTTTTTCTCGTTCGGCTGGCCGCGCATGGGCCCTGGCCACCGTATATGGTCGCCCCTATCCTTCACATATTGCAGCACGTTTTTGAGGGTGTCATTGTACTCCGTAAAATTCGCGGCACTCCGCGGCACGGGGCGCGGTGCCTCTGGCCTTCTCTACGGACCAAAACTTCCCGACATGGGCCTAGGCGCCTGCCTCACCTCCACCTCGTCACCCCTTAGGCGTCTCTTCTCGGCCCTTCTTGCTGCCAACGTCTCCTCTAGCATGATCACTTTTTGCACCCTCCGATCCAAGTCCTCAGTGGAAACCACATCCCGCTTCGAAAGGACTCGGCAGAGTTCTTCGCTGGAGCTGCACGCATCCAGACAAACCCCTAGTACCGCTGGTTGAACATCTTTAACCGCCATGGCGACAGAGATCCATCGATCGTAGAACTCTCTGAGCGCCTCCCCTTCCCTTTGCCTCACCTTGAACAATGCGCCTATGGTCAATGTACGGCGCTTCCGACTTGCGAACTTGGACAAGAATAACTCGGCGAATTGCTCAAAACACTCTATGCGCCCCTCCTCAACCTGATGATACCAATCCAGGACCACCCCCACAAATGTGGATGGGAACACCTTACACAACGTCGCGTCTGAGCTATTGTATAGTTGCATTTTTGTGAAGTAGCTGTTCAGATGATCTTCTGGGTCGGCCATCCCATCATAACTGGGCAATGGTGGAATCGTCGTTCCCGCGGGCTCCATTAGAATGCTTCGGGCCAGGGGTTGACGAACGCCGAACCTCCTGGCTACCCTCCTAGGCGCCCACACGTCCTCAGGTTTCGTCTGATTATGCTCGACGGCAGTCTCCAGGCGCGCGGACGTCCGGGCATAGCATGCTCCTATTCGGTCTGGTGTGGTAGTCCATGTTGCTGGGATACAGAGTCTGCCCCCACCCTGTCTCGCTTCCTCCATCCGGGGCTGTACATCATCATGTCTTCACTTCGCTCCCCCTCCAATTCTCTCCTGAGCGCCGCAATGGCCCGATCTTGGTCAGCAATGATTCGAAATAACTCCCTCTTCGTTAAAGAATCTCCCTCGTCTACTGATAGGCGCCCAGGGCTCTCCTGTTCCTCCACGTCCATGCTTACCTCGTGACTCCGCTGGCGCTCGCCCTCCTCCTGATTCGAGTTTCCCGACCTTGAGTTGTCTTCCCCGCCGTTTACGTCATTAACGTTTTCCATGGGCGCTCCCCCTATCTGGCGCGCCAATTGTTGAAGCCACGTAACCCTCAAACATGTTCCTTCGAACTTCCGTACGACGGTCTTCCCCGCAGACGCCCAGATCCTGCACAGATGGACGCCTAAGGGCTTTGAGATGCCCGTTAGCACTCCAACGCTCAAGTCAGTCCTCAGTTTAGAGAGAGAAGTACTTTTGGGATCTTAGTGAGAGAAACCAACCTGCGTAAATGCTACCTACCGAGTACTATTTATACTCGTCGAGGCCCCGACCAGGCTCCTAGAATCCAGCTCCACGTCAGCGCGTCATTAAATGCTCGGTACGGCCCAACGGTCGGGCGCCTCCACGTGGCAGCTCCTGGGCTCCTGGCTCCTGGCGCCTGCAGGACCACCTGTCCAGGTGGCACGCTCTAAGCACTTTGGTCCCTTTTTGTCGCCATGCGCCTGTGGGCCGTTGACTGGGCCTTACTCCTTATTTTCATCCCCATCTCCTAAAGCGGGCTTGGGCCTGAGCATCTTGGACGGGCCCACGTCCCCCAATGGTCTGCCTATGTATACACCCAACAGTTTTCATCCGTTTTTTCTTTTTAATGGACACATTAACAGGCAGCAGCAAATAAAATGAATTGAGAAAATGACTATTTTTGTGAAGTGGCATGCATGCATGTTGATGCATCAATATGAACAGACAAAAATTGGTGGATATGGATGAAATGAGCAAGGTCGGAATTTCCTAATATATCACAAAGCCTCTATTATAGGGATGTAATTTCGTGAAAGATTGAGAGCCTCGCGTTTCTTGAAATTTTAGGATATTATCTGTATAATGTGTAGCAAAAAATTAAAACATTAATATGCTTTTGATATGTTGATACCATATTCGATAATGCAGGCTTGGCCATGGGTTCAAATATTTCTTATTTGTTTTAGCAAATATTTTACCTACCTATTTCACTTAGCTTGACTATAATGTAAGTTTAAGAACGCCACATTAATATTTTGATCATTTTAATTTTTTTCATTTAACTCACTATCTAATTTATTTTTTCTAAAATGTAAGTTTAGTCTCTCAACTTCAACATTTTAAAAATTGTAATTCTTAAACTTCAAAGTATGTCCATTTTGCTCCCATTATATGAATAATTATGTTTTTTTCCCTCATAACACTTTGGGAATTAACACTTATAAATTTAGTCTTTAAACACAAAAAATTTATTCCTATTACAAAAAACTTTATGTTTCTTAAGATAATCTCGAATTGAATAGTTCAAAAACTTCATTTCTTTGATATTAAAAAAATTGGCCCACATCATTATTTGTGGAACAGTGTCTCGAGTATCAATTGGACGGCTATGAAGATGAGTATTTGGTTATTGGTGCAAATATAAGTTACAGTTTTCCTAATATATCACACGTGCGACCCCAAATATAAGTGGATGTTTATGTTCTTAACCATTTGTTTTCAAAAAATACTCCTAATATTTGATTCATAGTATTCAATGTAAAAAAATGACATTTCAAAGCGAACAAAGGGACACGCCAGATCCAAGATTTAGAGAATCCAATAATATGGACAACTATACTAATTAAACTATCATGGATTTTTTGGTTGTTGATTAAAAAGCAAAATTAATATCGATTTTCGGTTTTTTCTGGTGAATGATTTAGAAAACAAATTAAATATAATATTGACAACTATACTACTCCAACTTGTTATCAATCACATGTTTCACGAATGAAAAAACTATGTAAGACGGACGGTTACTTTCAATTTGTTTGTGAGCAAGTCAGTTAATTGATTGGTGGAGTTAGGATGGAAAGTTTGGTATCAAATAATATAGCAAATACCGAGTCAAACTTATCACTATTTAATTGGTATTATCAAATACCTACTATATATGTTTTAGGGATTGAGATTGAGATTGGAGTGTTACTTGATACTTGTGTTTATGGGATTAAGATCGATATATACCAAAATATCGAGAAATACCAATAATTTGTAATTAATTAAATACAACACACATCCTCTAGTCATTCATCACCCTTTGACAACTCATAATTTCTCGTACGTTCAACCCAAGTTTAACTTTCAAGTTTTTTAGATCACTCTTGCCTCTCACTTAATCTCTTATTATTTTCAAAACACAAAAATTCAAACTTTTATTAGTCGTCTCTCAACCTCCAAGCAATTAAATCAAAGATTGTCAAGGATAAAATATTGAGATATCACCATTTCATCCCTTCTTCTTGCCTTAAGTCTTGGTAAACTCAAAACCTTTTGTCTAGCCTCTTTGCCCAAATGAGAAGACGTTCTGAATCCACTCAATGGAGACTTTGTGAACTTCAATTAGTTTTGATTGACTTTATTTTAGGATTGTGATTGATTATAAGATATTATAATATATTAAATATTTTGGTATTTTATATTGTGATATCGATACCGTACCGATCGATTTCCATCTCTAGTTCAAATATTTACCATTAGTTAGGGCATGGCGAATGAGTGAGTAATTTCATTCTTTCCTCTCCGTGATTATATAGTGGTAATAGTAGTCATAGTACCACTAGATAACACCTTGCTCTTCATATTAGACATTTGAAATCTTCATACACCTATTTGAAATTGAATGGATTTTTGTTTAGGAGTTTGCTGGTTCACTCTTGAAATAAATAAATAAAATCTCAAATTCAAAAATAAAACGTTTATTTTATCGCAAAACTAGTGATTACCACTACATGTAAAATAAATCGAGATCATAAATAATGGTCTTTAAAGACAAAAAATAGTTGCTGATGCCTTTTAGTGAACAATTGTTTTATAGCAGAATTGCTCGGTATATTCTTGTTACAAATTCCTAGCGTAAGCAATCAATGATTGGTTGCGAAAAATGCTATCATAACCAATTCCGCAAAAACATTAAAAGATCCTCGAGTTTTCGTGACTATTTAATATAGTTGTCATAAGTCCTTATTTAGTGGTGGAAATGGAGGTGTTTGGTCTGCATAAACACCAATGACTGGTTGACTACCAATTTATATAACTTTTAGTAACCAATATGTTGGCAAATCCAATGTTATGATCAATAAGTCATTTTGGCCGGAAAATTAAGGTTTATCAACCAATGATAATCAATAAGTCATTTTGATCTCCTCCTCTCTGATAAACCCTATATTCGAACTAGTCGGCCCCTTTTCCGTTTTGATGCTCGCTGAGCAGATAATCCAGAGGTCAAGGCAGTGGTGAACTTTGTTTGGGAAGAGGAAATTCTTGGGACTCCTATGTTTCAACTTTGGGAACGTTTTAAGAAGTTACACCATTTGCTCTATGACCGGAGTAGAACTGGTACTACGAATTCCCTGCGGAATATTAAAACTCTTCAAGCCGAAATTGATAGAATCAAATGAGTTCATCCTATTGATTGGGATACTATCCGTAATCTGGAAATCAAACTAACTCGTCAGTGGGAGGCAAACGGTTTTCTCGATGGGGTCAAAACAAGCGCCTAGTTCTGATGAGTTCACAGGAAAATTCTTTAAGACTTTTTGGGACATTGTTGGTGAGTCGGTGATTGCTGTGGTCTGCTCTTTCTTTTCCACGAGCAAGATGCTCTGTAGCTTCAATAATACTTGGCTGACATTGATCCCCAAAGTGGATAATGTGGAAACCATGAGACAGCTTCGTCCAATAAGTTTATGGCAATTTGTGTACAAAATCATAACGAAAATCATGGTTGAACAATTGGTTTGTCTTTTGACACAAATAATCTCGGAAGGCCAGAATGCATTCATCCTAGTGATGGCAATGGGGCGGGGCGGGGCGGATACCTCAATTCCCATGCCCCGACCCACTCTTTCATGTTTTCTGAAAAAAATACCAATAAAATTTACTTTTTACGATAAAACGAAGGGATAACACTTTAAGAATGAAAAATAGTGATAATAGAATCGGTAACTGAGTCTAACAAGTTGAAAGAGCGACTCTAACTAGTTGAAGAAAAGTCAAAATAGGAGAAATATGTATAGAAATTGTAAGAAATTGAAATAAAATGAGTCTAGAATGGGGCGGGGCAGGGCAGGGCGGCTCGGAAGTAGATACCCATGCCCCGCGGGTCAGGTCGGGTAATACATCCCGGGTCAGGCAGGGCCTCTCTGACAACTATACTAAAACATGGATTTTTGCGCCCATGAATTGGCCAAAACACCAAACACCTTAGCTGAAACTAGATAAAATCTCTAATCTGCAACTTTAGAATGCAGCCCCTGCTTCTAACTGAAAATGGTCATCAATCACTTGCCCCTTGTGATTGTCTTTGCGTCCATTATAAGAAACTAGTGCTTCTAACTGAAAATGGTCATCAACCAAAACGCCTAAACTAAAACATGATACAATATAATCACTACTCTGCAACTTTCTTCTGAAGCCTCTGCTTCAACATGAAACTAGTTCTCAAGCGCTTATTTCCAAGGGTTCATACTATTCTTCTTAAATTCAATTCTGCTACTATCTCCCTTAACAATATCACTGCAACTAGCCTCCATCAGGTCTAGCTAGGGTTCTATTCTTGACAGTTGCCAACCAGTTTTCTGTATGTTTTGTTATCTACCTTATTGGAAGCAGTAAGCCATGATACAATTGCTTGACAAATTTTTAAAGTTACCATCTTTGTAGTTTCATGCTTCTTGTTGAAGATTCTAGCATTTCTTTCCAACCAAATATTCCAGCAAATTGTGTGTAGCGTTGCCTTAATGCACCATTTCTTTGAATCTCTAGGCTTATGGAATGGCCAACGTCGGATGCGAGCTGAGATGTCTTGCATATCTTGAACGTCATTTTGTATCGCAAAAAAGTTTCCCAAGATCTTCCACATTTTGCCGCAAATTTTCTCGTAATGAAGATATGATTAATATGCTCTTCGTTTCAAGGCAAAGCACGCACCTACTGGGGAGGATCCACCCTTTCTTCCTAAGCGTATCATGTGTTAGGATTTTCCTATGGTAGACAACCCAAAGGAAGTTTGTCATTTGCACCTCAATATGAAATGAACATTGCACAATATAGTAACAATAATAGTAGTCCAATAATATTTTTTATTCGACGCCTTTAAAAGTCCATCGTCTGTGTATTGCTTTTAAGCAATATAATGACTATTTGATATATAGTATAAACAAGAACACAAATTTTGTCATGTGAAACTATGATGCGGGTTATTCAAGTGACCCGAAATATCTACCCACCACCACTCGAGTAAGTGCGGGGAGGATATTAATCACTTCGCTATCCCCCACATATATCACCCGCCCACATAAATCACTTCGCAAATCGAAGATTAACCACCCACGTGCCCACCTCTATAATAGAGTCAAGTAGAGTGTTCATGTTTTTAATAGCATCCACATCAAAGGAATTTGGTCAATTGCAAATCATACATGGCACTCACTATGTAATTGTAAAGAGAATTGCACAAATGCAGTTGGCACTTGCTAAGATGCAAGCTTGCATTTGACGAAATTCAAGATGCAAGAAGCCACATAGGAAAATAAGAATATTAATTTATTTATTTCTCCTTTCATATATTTATTTGTGTTTACTATAAAATCACTTTATCCCACCACTTATGAAATTACAAGTGAATTGCATTTATGGAGATATAATGAAATTCATATTAGTTGGGTTGCAAAAATTATGAGATGACAATAAAGATAATATATGTGACAATTTTTTAATTTCATTGATGTGGATGCTCTAAAAAAGTCAAGTTTTGTTAGAATAGTGATAATTGAAATATAGGAATTTGAGTTAGTGGTTGGAAGACGTACAAAAGAGTTTGATGGGACTAGTTGTTTTGTACTTAAACTCTTTTGATTCAATAAAAGAACTCGTCAGTTTGCAAAAAGAAATTGGTTTTTACATGTGGTATGAAAACCAATACAAATTGTTTGTGTCTTATATTGGTCAGGGAATTAAACACGATTGTCTTTGGCAAAGTACATAGTTTGTCACCGGTGACTGCAACACAGGAGGCTATCATGCACGATTTGGGACAATCGACAAGAAAAAAAGGATAACGATGTGTACGAAAGTAAAGTACACACATATTTACGTGGTTCATTAACACTATATGTGTTAGCTAGTCCACGAGCAATAGATAGCTTCGCTATACTTGAAATTATTACAGATTACATAATAGTATGAAAAGTATATACAATATATAGTACTTGTCCATGGCCTAAACCTAATCTAATATGACAAAGAATAAGGTTACAAATAAGGTCCATCATAAAGGACAACCGTGGACAAGCCCATATCAACTAATCTCCAACTTGACTTCAAACCTCCACCTGAATCTCTGATTAGGTTCTCCTTGTATCAACATCTCTTGCATAATCAGAATATGAATATCCTTCTGCACTCTATAGCACTTCCAAAACTGATTCCCCCTTCCGCCATACCCTTCACGTAACGGAAATTCTTTTCACTTCCCGCCAATGTTACTTTCCAGGTTGCACCATGAACCTGATGACAACACCAGGAACATGTGGGAACTCGAGACATGTACTATTTCTCAGCTTCATACTGTTGTGCATACACTGAGGATATATAAATATTTGAAACACTAGTAGTATTTAAGGACTTTGCTGAAGACATGTCAAACCTGGACAGTATCTTTAGGATGTAACTTTTCTTTGACAAGAAAATCTTTGTCTGATCCCTTTCTCTTTAAATCTCTAAACCCAAAATCTTTTGAGCAACTCCCAAATCTTTCATCTCGAACTCAGCACTGAGAAGCCCCTTCAACCTTTGGACATCAGACTTCGACTTCGCTGCAATGAGCATATCATCTACCTACAGAACCATATAGATCATTGAACCATCACCAGGCTTGTTGTGATATACTCAACAATTATATGGACTTCTGTTGTAGCCATCTCAAGCATATAACTATCGAACCTCTTGTACCACTACCTCGAATATTTGTTTAAGTGCATACAAGAACTTCTTCAACTTACAAACATAATCTTCTTTACCTAGAACCTGGAACCCATCTGGTTGAGTCTTATAAATTTCTTCTTCTTGGTCTTGATGTAGAAAAGTAGTCTTCAGGTCAAGCTGCTCGAGCTCCAAGTCCTTATGTGTAACTATTGCTAGAAGCACTCTATTGAAGTTTGTCTGATGATGTGATAACAAGTGATAAAATCCTAGGAGGCCTAGAATCGTATTCCTCGAGGTCTTCTAATGCTAACTACTCACACTAACCATCCATAACATACACGAAATATGAAAGACTTTTAGGGGGTTTTATTTAACAAACAAGCAAAGCAAGAAGAGTAAATTTATTTAGGTTTTTTTTCAATTTATGGATGCATAAAAGTAAAGATATGTTATTATAGAAGGTAGTAAAATTGAGTACTATAGTGCATCCTAGGACTCAATCACAACATGCATCAATAATTCATCTATTGTAACACCATATTTCTTCCTCTAATGTCACTCTCTACCCGTGCATGCGCCACTTGCGGTAGAGATTTAACTATTTAATGCGTGCTTTTGCTTCATGTCATCACCTAATTAATGAAGAACAATGAAGTTAGGATAACATATAGTTAATTGTGGGCTTCTAAGAACCATAACTATAGCCTATAGCATCGAGGATCTAACAATCAAGCATTGATACTACTTGAGGTATAGATGGTTGATCATTCGCTATATACTCATGAACCATCAATGGGCTATCACTAGAGGGTAATTTATTATCAATCTAGATAGTACCAAGCATAATTAATATAGTAGAATACAATAGAATCACAAGCATCGATAATAAAAAAACATATCTATACTAAATAAACATTATTAACCATCACATAAGCATCAAAACTAAAAGCATTCATACATAAGCAATAGGCATTGAGATTATATAGACAAACAAACATGAGATGAAACCATAACTTTCATTCACATAACAATAAACAAGTTCACATCTTCATACAATCAATTTTGAGTAGGCTACATAGAAGATCCCGACCTAAAATGTCGTAAATCAACTAGGAAAAAGTCTCCTAAGCCTTGTGGGCTAAGTAAACTTCTCCCACAAGAAATAGGATTGCCGGTGGTAGGCTGGCGATTGGACTCGTCGCTCTATTACTTGGTGGGTTGGGTTCCTCTAGCCTTGGACGATTCTGTTAGAAACCTAGTTTTTGTGGGTTTTCCTATTTAATTATGGTACGATAATTATTATTATGATTAGCAGAAATATGTAATCAAACATTCATTTAGGATTAAACAGAAATTAATAGAAGAATTATCCCCAAACCCTATTCACTCTTCTCTCAACCTCGTCTGTCTTTCTTCCCCAAAGGCTTAGGTCGTTCTTCCCCAAATTATTATTCTAATTCCCTAATTCTATCCTTCTAATCCCTAAATCCCTTTCTATATATCCGGTTACGTCAATCCTAAGGAACTGTAATAAGCGGGTTTCTAACAGTGGTAACAGAACCAGGTTAGCAAGAATGAGTTCATCGAGACTCTCAACCGGATATTTTAACAAGTTTGCGTGAAAGTAGAAGGCTGAGATGAACTGTTTACTTGCGCAAATTGCGTCGCTTGGGACGGACGCTGAGAACGAGTGGCAGGACGATGAGGTCCCTATGGTAGCGATCAAAGCGGCACAATTGATTGGGGTCGAGGTTGAGTTGGCGGACGAAGTTTGTGCTGTCGTGGAGGACAAAGAAGAAGATTTGGCCGTCGAGAGCTTTGGCCACAAGCAACCACTTCTAACCTTTGTAGTAGGACTACCTCTATCCCAGTCGTCAAACACAACCCTCACCACTGTTGAGAAGTCACATGATGACGGCAACACCGTTGAAGATAATTCTTGGTCGGCAAAGGTTGAGGCTCCTATTCCATGACACCCAGCTGCCTTGGGGTCTTTGCATGAGATCCCAGCAAATCAGAGAGCCTCGGGTGAGGGGAGAGTCGTGATGTGGAAGTTCAAGAAAAAGAAGAGGGTGTTTCCAAAGTTGGCGTGCTTCCTAGTTGTCGTGTGGTCTATTGGCCGCTGAAGATAATACTAGAAGCAGGTCATCTCTCCCATCGCCTATTGTGCGGGTTGCGGGCAGAGAAAGAGGTGTTGGAGAATGAAGAAAAGAAAATGCCGCTACGGACGGTGAACGATCGCTAAGGAAAAATGGAAGCGACGATGCATCACGCTATTGACTTGTGTGAGTGCGGACGAACAGGGTAGCAGCAATCGACGGCAGCTTACTTGGTGTCGATTATCTGTAAAGAGGAAGAGTTGAGGATGAGCAGTGTGGCCTGGGAATCTACTTCCCACCACTTGAAAAACTTTTCGAAGTCAGAGAAAGGGATGCCGAGAGAAGGTGGTCGGGGTTCTTCGTTTGCAACACAGAGATCACTAGTGTCGCCGCGATTGACATTGTCTCCAACTTGCGCGTGGAACGCTGAAAAGACGAAGCCGTTGATGCTAATCGCGTGAGTGAGCTCGAGACCGATGACCACTCTAGTCACGGCGATGATGGGCGAGATGCCAGAGCTGAAGACGGAGAAAGAGAAGGCAGCGGAACGAAAGGCAGAGCAAGAGATCAATGTTGCTCCTCAGGTCGTCTGATTGACGACTCCTTCCATTGCGACATCGATTGGACAGGATGTGACATCGAAGATGACGCGGGGAGTAGGATTGAATTTCCACTACCATATCGGTTCTCCGATAAAGGAAATGACAGAGAAGAAGATAGAGGGCAACGTCCCTCTTCTCCTCGTCAACCCTAGGCCGGCAACGCTTGTGCGAGTGGAAAGTAGACAAACCCGAGCTGGGTTCGGGTCGCTAGGCTTCTTCATTCGTAACGGCCAAAAGAGGAAGTGGCGGACGGGCAGAGTCAGAGGGAAACCAATCGGGTCCAGGAAACAGATGGGTTAGATCTTCAAGAAAGGGTTGGACTTCAAATGAGCCCACTGATTAGATCTCTCTTGTATGGATGTGGGCCAAGATTTGAAGAAGTTGAGTCCAATAGGAGCTGTTTTTTTTTTAAGTGGGTCAGCTTGAAAGAGAAGAAAGAAGAAGACAAAGTGTACATAGCAAATGGGCATTTCAAGGAGCCAGGGCCAAACAAAAGTCAAAAGATAAGGAGTGAACAAGAGCTTCAATTTCATTTGGGCCATAATTCTTTCTTCCAAGCAATTGAAGGCTAAGTCCAAGGTGAAGAAAAAGAAGGTTAGGTAAAGCTCTAGGTTGTTTTCACGGCCAAGTTGACGGAGAAATTTATTGAGTAGAAGGAAGAACAATGGCCCAATTCTTATTTCATGGATTTTGAAAAAGAAGAGGAAGAACTGTTCGGATATGGGCTACGTAGTATGTGCTACGTGGCAGGAGAAGAGTCGTGGGAAGTTGAAGTTGCTAGAGGAGTGATGGTTCGCGGGGTTGAGCGCAATAGGAAACAAAGAAAGCAGAAGGGCGAGAAGACAGAATTTGACCGCAACCTTGAGTATAAGGTCGCTCTCAAGCAGAGAGGATTGTTAGAAACTCAGTTTTCATGGTTTCCTTATTTAGTTATGGTAGGAAAATTATTATTATAGTTAGTAGATATTTAGTAGAATTAGGTTATTTATTAGGTTTCTGCGATATTTTCCTATTATTATGTAATCGGTCATTCATTTAGGATTAAGCAGAAATTAATAGAAGAATTATCCCCTAACCCTATTCTCTTCTCTCTCAACCTTGTCTGTCTTACTTCCCCAAAGGTTTAGGACGTTCTTCCCTAAATTCTTCTCATAATTACCTAATTTTATCCTTCTAATCTCTAAATCCCTTTTTATCTATCTGGTTACGTCAATCCTAAGGAACCGTAATAAGCGGGTTTCTAATAGACTCATCCTTGAAATTTGGGTGTGTCTTGACATATCCCTAGGTAGCGGTGGTTAAACCTGTTGTTGGTTCGTCGCTCGTTCTTTCTTCATCTTGGGCCGAGTCTTCCTCTTATGGGCTTGGCTTGGGCTTATTAAGCGACTTCTAGTAGACTTCTTCATCATTACACCTCTTCTTTCTCATAAATGCTCATTATTCTTCTCTTTATAACTCTTTTGTTCCTCAAGCTTTCTGCAATGTTTGATCCACACATCCTTAGGTTCCTTTATACCTTCAAAACCATAAAAAAAAAACATGCCCAGAAGGAATCAGGGAGTATAAGGACATAGCCTATGTCTATTAAAGGCTCATTGATTAAATATATTTTATTTAGATAGGAAATTCAATTGAAATGACCAAAGATTTTTTTAGGGCTAATACCACTACAACACCCGAACTATCAGGAAAATGCCAATTGTGTCCTATTGTTTCCAATATTTCATCTGTGTCCTGAACTATTATACTTTATGCCATTGGTATCCTAACAATTTAGTTGACCGTTAAAGATAACGGTTGACAAAACGGTGGTCAACTTAACATTGACTTTTGCTGACGTAGCAATGCCAAGTCAATGACACCTCGCATTTCTAATTTAAATTAAATAACAACTAAACATAAAGAAATTTAAAATTAAAAAACCTGTAATTTCAATAATAATAAAATGCTCCTGCTCTTCGTCTTCTTTCGGCAACGGCGAAGCATCTTTCTCGATTTTCTTCTGCCGAAAAACTCCATCAAAACCACCGTCAAGTTTCTTCCGCTCCTTACCACCGACGCCTCTGTGTCGCCCTTCTCTATTTCTCATCTCAGTCGCCGTCGTCCCAAATAATCATCGCCACCGTCAAAGTCTCAGCCATGGCCAACCCTAACAACCCAGAATCTATGTTATCCCTCCACCAGTCTTCCTCCTTGACTTGAACCCATAACCCAGAATCTCTATGGTTCTATGGGTACGATTCAAACGAGATAGGTAGAAAAAAACATCCGCCCACAACAGATTCACACCCACAAAACTTTCGCCGCTCTTCATCGTCATCGCCTCCGCACGATTCACCTGCTTTGGACGAACAAAATTCTTCCCTCATCGTATCTGAAACCCACCAACCCAGAAAAAAACATAAGCAAAGGGAATCATAATCAATCATCAGATCCAGATTTCCTGGGGTCCAATCCTCCTCCAGCTGCTCCAATCGATGCGCGATGTAAGCTTCTTCATTAGCGTTGCATATGGGTAGCCCAATCAATGGAGGAACCCAAATCCCTCGCACTGGCGAGGAACCTCCCATATCGGCGACCACGCTTCTTCGAACCCAGATCCGCCGCCTTGATTTACTAGCCATAGAACAACCTAGAAACAAAAAAAAATCAACCCTCCTACGCCCTGGATTCGTCGAGCTTTGCCGATTATTCATTGTGGGCATCTGCATCTCACATCATGACTCGCTCGTGGGTGAGGAAGAGAGTCCATCCGGTGAAGAAATCAGAGATGATAGTTGGAGCATGGTGTTGCTATTGATGTTGGGCGGAGTAGCAGCAGATGTGGGGAAGGGTGAACAGGTAGAAAGGGTCGAGGGGATGAATGGTGGAGATGGAAAGTTTTTATTTTTTTCATTGTTTTTTATTTTAATTATTTTATTAAATAAAAAAATAAATGAAAATTCCACATCATGTGCCACATCAACGCTGACTAGACTTTCTGTTAAAAATTAACTGTCAAAACAAGTCAAACTTTAACATAAAATAGTTGAGGACATAGATGGAATATTGAAAACAATAGGACACAAGTGGCATTTTCGGAATAGTTCGGGTGTTGTAGTGGTATTAGCCTTTTTTTATAGAAGGTGAAAATATATCAAGGATGAGAGTGACATGTCATCATCTTACCACTGAGAATATATCATTGTAGTCAACACCTTGTTTATGTGAACTCTCTTGCAACCAGGCGAGCTTTAAATTTAATGCTCTCTGCATATAATATTTCTTCCTTCTTCTTCAAGATCCATTTATCTGTAATAATCTTCCTTTTATGTGGTCGTTTGGCAAGCTCCCAAGTCTGAAACCTATCAAGGGATGTTATCTCAACTCTCATTGCAGCAGGCCACATCCCAAGTATAACTCTATATGAAGATGGTGACTAGACTTGATATCCCTTAACTCCATCCCTAAAACCCACAAATACACCCTTCTTCTTAGCTCTTGGATTCAGCTTACCTTCATCCATATGATGATAAATAGAACAAGAAAAAAACTTTCAACAAAGAGTAATTAGTAGTCTTACTAGACCACACCTCATAAGGAGTTTGACACATGATACCTAGAAGGAGGAAATCCCCTTATATACCACATTTTGGCTATTTGAGTAACCCCTTCTAGGGCAATTCAGGACAAATCTCAAATATCGGATTAGTGCCATGATTTCAACTTGATTGGCTGCTTTTTGTCATTCCGGATTAACTTTTGAGGGATTGGTTTTTGCAACCTTAGTCGATTGATTAAGAGAGCTAGGTTTCCTAACTTATCGTGACAATCCTTAGTTAATCGATTAAGAGAGTTTGGGTTTCCTAACTTATTGCATCCTCCTTCCGGTATATAATCACACTCTTCACACTAGAGTTCCATTCGTTGTATCATGACACGAGACTAGGGATAACAATATCCAGGTGAAACCTTCACAAATCGAATTCACCATAATTCACTTTGCTTGCTTGTTCAATTGTATTTTTTTAGCTTTCACACCAAACTGTTACCTAATACAAATGATTGAAGTAGGGATACATAGACCGCCTCGGGTTAATATTAAAACACTTGTCCTATCCTACACCTGACTATTGGTTGCAGTTGGCCTATAGTTGGGAATTGTGTAGTTAGGTTCGAGTCAATGAGTTATTTCATATTTGAGCTATGAGTTATCTAAATATAACTGAAAAAGAGTTATTTGAAATAACTCTACCCCTCGTGATATTTTAAAATAACTTATTATTGCCAAATATGAATATCACGTGTCAAATACTACACATAAATAGTTTAGATTTAAGACAAATGAAATATTTTAAATACCACATTGCTAAATGATAATTAATCTATCCAAATCACCCTAGTAACTTCAAATGGTAGTAAATGTGTTGCCTTTTTCAACTACTCGCTGGATCGCTTTTGTAATCAGCAATTAATATAAATTGCCTTTGAACCTGGCGATATAATATACCAATTCACATTTGACATAGTGAACAACCCCAAACTCTAATAGTTTAGAAAATTTTGACCAAAAGTGTTGTATTTTGGAAATTTGATAGTGGAGCAAGAGCAATGGTATTATACATTATACTAGTATGGGGGAAAAATCCCATGTTGCCCTACAGCTACAAAACCACGTGAGTAGAAATGATTTTTAACTTTTCTCTGGCCAATGGCAGATAAAGGTGGTAATGGAGCAGTGAGTATAAATGATCAACTTTTCCGTGGTCAATGGCAGAGAAATTTGGTAGTGGAGAGCAGGGTCGACGTAAGGGCAATAATGCACTAACACAAACAGCAAACACAAAGACGGCACTCTGATTCTCATGAACTCTGTCTTTGGGTCTCTCTGTTCCTCCTTCCCCCTTCTAACCAAATTACAGAGGAGCCATGAAAGCACTTCCAACTTCAACCTCTGCTCCATCCCTTACCATCCGAACTTCAACCTTCCATGCCCCTTTCTCCACACCCCATTATTCGCCGACCCAACAACCCATTCTTAGAACCACATTACCTAAAAACTCCAAGCTCCTTCTTTCTCTCCACGCCATACCCCCATTGCACAACAGTACTTCCTCTGTTTCAGCGGAATCGCCACCTGATCAAGCTGCTGATGTCTCCGGAGGGGGAGTGGAGAAGTTCGATTGGTACGCGCAGTGGTACCCGGTGGCGCCGGTGTGCGATTTGGACAAAGGGGCGCCGCGTGGGTTGAAAGTGATGGGGATGGATGTGGTGGTGTGGTGGGACGGGAACGAGAATGCATGGAAAGTGTTCGACGATATGTGTCCTCACAGGCTGGCTCCCCTGTCTGAAGGAAGGATTGATCGATGGGGGAGACTGCAATGCTCTTATCATGGCTGGTGTTTTGATGGCTCCGGCAGCTGCCAGCTCATCCCTCAAGCTCCTCTCGACGGCCCTCCGGTTAGTTGTTTCATTTCCATCCATTGTTATGACATCTAAATAGGAAAACATTGGAGTAATCGAATCGTAGCTGAACTTGCAACTTGCAGGCTCACACCAGCAAAAGGGCTTGTGTTGCTACTTATCCAACCGTAGTGCATCATGGCATTGTGTGGTTCTGGCCGAACTCTGATCCTGAACACAGACACGTCTTTGACAAGAAAAATCCTCCCTTGGTTCCGGAGTTAGACGATCCATCATTCACTACGACAATGGGGAGCCGAGATATTCGATATGGGTACTCGTTAGCTCATGGCTAAGTGCTGTTCTTTTAAAGTTCTGTATTCACTCTTTGCATTCATCTTAGGTATGATTCACTGGTTGAGAACCTTGTGGATCCTGCTCATCTTCCGTATGCACATTATGGTCTCACACCAACAATGCCAAACAAGGGTAGGTTTCAATTATCTCTCATGAGCCACTTATGGGGTTGAAAGTAGCACTTAACTCAGCTGTCCTGTTTTCTCAGAAAAGCGAGATGAAGAAGGGGGGAGACCCATGGAATTCATGGTGAACAAACTAGGTATAGATGGATTTGAAGGAAGCGTGGAATCTTTCGGCGAGTTTCGATTCATTGCACCATGCCTCTTCTTTCTCCCAACTATAGCTGATGAACCCTCGGCGAATCTAGGTAACGGTTTTGTTGTGCCATCATCTGCTGAAACCCTAAAGGTGAGTTCTAATTGCTTAACTGATATCATCAATTTGATTACTTTCCATCATTGATTGAAGTGTTTGATGTTCTTCTGTCATTATCCTGCTGATCCAGCCATCAACAGGGCGTCGAATGGCATTAGTTGTCCTGTGTGTTCCTGTTAGTCCTGGCACTAGCAGATTAATCTGGGCCTTCCCTAGGAACTTCGATATTTGGGTGGATAAAGTTGTACCTAGATGGATACTTCACATGGGGACAAACCTTATCCTCGACTCAGATTTGTGCATTCTTCATGCTCAGGTGATTTTTGTTACCGGCCATATATAGCTTCAAACTAGTTTGTGTGAATGCATATTTAGATACTTTTCATTGGTAAATCTTGGCCATGGATTGAGGTCTAATGCTCTTATAAACTGGTACAGGGGCAGAAAATCAAGCAAGCCGTCGATCCTACAGATTGGCAGAAGGCATATTTAGATACTTTTCAGATGCTCTAGTGGTTGGATTCAGGACATGGTTGAACAAATATGCGGAAAAAATCCCAAAGTACACTAGTTCTTAAAAAAAATTCCATAAATACATAAGTTATAAAAAAAATTCCAAAAGTACACATGTTTGAGCATCACCATTTTAGACAAAAGCGGTGAAGGTCATCACCGCTTTTGACCAAAACGGTGAATACTTCACCGTTTTAAACTAAAACGGTGATGTATTCACCGTTTCAAACTAAAACGGTGAAGGGTTCACCGCGTTTGTTAAGAACGGTGAATACCTCACCGTTTTAAACAAAAACGGTGAAGGCGCTGACGTGGACTAACGCGGGGTATTCACCGCGTTAGACAAACACGGTGAATACCCGTGTTTGTTTGCGTCAGCGATCCGCGTCGCTGGCGCGTTCACCGTGACCGTAGGATGCGGTGAGGCGCGGATCGTGGTTTTCTTTCCAGATCCGACGCCTCACGCTGAGCCACGTCGCTCGATCCGCGCCTCATCACCGTGTTCGAGAAACGCGGTGCCTTCACTTAAGCTGTTCTCCCCTTCCACTAATGCAAATGCAAGCGGGAAAATCCGCCTGTTTCCATCAACGCCAGTGGCAATTAGAAGACATCCTCTGTACTTCCCAGTAAGGAAAGTTCCGTCAACCTGAATAAAAATTTAGGATATAATTAGTATGAAATATACTTAACAGCAAATAATACAACATTTAAAACCGGAACTAGTTGGTAAAATACCTGAATAACCGGTATGCAGAACCCAAAACCGTCAATGCATGGTTTAAAAGCCCAAAAAAGACGATGGAACATCAGCTTATCCTGTACTCGAACTTGATCCTCAGTGTATACATTGTTGTATACTGGGACGAAAACAGTCCCAGGATTGGACTCCTCCATTGCTCCCATAAGTCTAGGGAGTAAAGCATACGAATCCTCCCAATCACCATACATCTCAGCCATAGCTTTCTGCTTACCATGCCATGCTTTTTTGTACCTTATCGTGTAAGAATGTCGATCCTTCACCTCTGACATGATAGCTTTCACCTTGATATCTGGCTGTGCTTCTATAAGGTGCTTAATAGTTCTCCCAACCTTCTTTGCTTTTAGTTGCCTGTGATCTTGACTGGAGTGGGAAGTATGTTGTTGATCTCCCTCCAATTCCTCTATCAAGAGAACAGCTTATGGACAGGTAGACACCCTTGGCCTTTATCTAATTTCACTGCATATTTCACTGCATAAATACATCTATCATCCAATTTACCCGTTCACTCTCCAGGTACTGGACTCATGTAGTGAACTGCCCCAGCTGCAACCGCGCATACAAGATTCTGAATGTGCTCGAAACCGTTCTCCAGGTCCTGGCTTTCGGACTGATGGGCATTGCTGTTGCAACAAAGCAGGGTATGGTGTCAACAAATACGAGAGCTGGATTGGTTATATTAGCTACCCTGTCCTTTGCAGCTTCAAGATGGTTGGCTCATTTTGTCTATAGGAACTTCCATTACCATGACTACAATCAATCGTTACGAGAGAACGAGATGATTGTAATTCTGCTAAGGCGCTTAGGCCTTCAGGTGTAGCTAGCATGAGTTGTCTATTGTTGATAAAGAGTTGCTATAACAAAACTGTCTGTAAGCTAATGGACTTTCCTGGCTACCGTAATGAACTGGTCGCAGTAAGTATGAAGAACTCTCTGATCACGATATTCCTTTGCCAACAATGGAAGCAACTGAACCACGCTGATCGCGATATTGCTCATCACTTGACACGATCAGAGTGTCAAAAGATCCTTATTTACGTTAATCTAGGGCAGCGCAAGATCAAACATTGTTTATGAGAGTTGTTGCCTTTTGCGCAGTTTAATTACTATTATTAGAATATAAATATCGCCTAATAGCATAAGGGTCCAGTGGAATACATGCAGGTCAACCTTAGCTTTCCCCTCCGGTCGTTTTGTCGGGGAATGGGCGAGTTTATCCCCTCTATCGTTTCGCTGGCGATTGGGCGAGAGCCCTACATTTCTATCACTCCGTGTTGAACGAAACGGTTGTCGTTTTATCAACACAGAAACAGTGTCGTTCTGTCAATACGGTGAAACGATGGCGTTCTGCTCAGAGTCCCACAACATTGCATCGTTTTAACTTTTAACGAATCGTCCTTCTAAGTCTTCTCCAGATCATCTCGAGCTTCTTCTCTTCCAACCTCCTCCTTCTCACTCCTCATGATTCTTCAAAAGGCGGTCTCTCATCCTTCAGCTCTGCCACCACTCTACAAGGAGTTCATGATGACCAGAGGAAGACGTTTCTCTATGGCCCCTACTTAGTAGGTCTATTTGTAAACGGTCACTTCCTTGTATGTACTATTAATTCTAGGATTTTCATTTAAATTAAATTCGACGGTTGCAGCAGAGAGGAGTCTTGAGTCTTCTGTCTGTATTGGGTCCTTAGATTTCTTCATTAGCTTTTGTCACAGTGTTTGTGAACTGGGTGACTTAAGATTGGGAAGTTGTTTGTGAGTGAGTCCTTTAAAAGAGCCAACTTGATTGGCTTGGCGTAGGTTTATCGTCTGTTAATTTGTATTTCAATTGATCATCAATAAAAGTTTTCTTTTTATCATTTTAAAGTGAGAGCTTGAATTTTTAAAATTCAAGTCCTGCTTCCATTTCTGATTTCACAATTGGTATCAGAGCAGGCTCTTTGTTTGGATTAACAATCGCCAAAGAGAGGGTCTAAGGGATGTCTGCATCTTCATCAGCATCAGCGTCATACTCAGCTAGCACAAATCCGTCATGGTTCGATGGAACAGACTACACTGTCTGGAAGAAGAGGATGAGGATTTATCTTCGAGAAGTTGATGGTGACTTATGGGCAATCGTCCGAAAAAGGTCCCATTCCTATGGATGATGACGATGAAGAGAAATGGGAAGATGAACAGAAGGTGTCATCTTAGCTGTACTCGAGGGCAATGCACATCTTATTTTCAGCACAGTGCCTTGAAGAAAGGAGTCAAGTGGCGCAATGTGAAACTGCTAAGAAGATTTGTGAGTCTCTTCAGACTACCCATGAAGGTACTTCCGAGGTAAAAGAAAGCAGAATTGATGTTATATTTAACGAATATGAATCATTTGAAATGAGTTCTAGAGAATCAATCACTAGTATGTATAAAAGGTTTAATGATATGATCTACAGGTTAAAAGGTCTAGGAAAAACTTTTATCACAAAAGATCTAGTTAGGAAAATTCTAAGGGGTCGTTTGGATGGGTCAATTTAGAAATGAGTCAATTTGATCAATTGTCTCGTTTTATAAACGAGACAATTAAAATGAGTCAATTCGAATTACCTGCCTCCACCCTAGGTAATTGAAAATGACTCAAAACGGATAAATTCAAAATACCTCAGACAGATTGATCCATCCAAATTTTTTGCTGGCAAACGAGACAATTTGGTAAATTGTCTCAAAACGAGACAATTGTGTCAAATTGATCTGTTACAATTCCTCATCCAAACAACCCCTAAGAAGTCTTCCTAGAGAATGGTTACCCAAACGTATTGCTATAGAGGAAGCTAAAGATCTGAATGTATTGTCTATTGAGAGACTTATTGGTAGTGATGGCAATGGGGCGGGGCAGGGCGGGTACCTCAATTCCCATGCCCCGCCCCACGCTACTACGAGGCGGGGCGGGTAAAACCCGCGCGGGTACGGGGCGGGGCGGGTCGACCCACTCTTACATGTTATTCGAAAAAAATACAAGTAAATTTTACTTTTTACGATAAAACGAAGGGTAAAACAATTTAAGAATGAAAAATAGTGATAATAGAATGGGCAATTGAGTCTAACAAGTTGAAAGAGCGACTCTAACTAGTTGAAGAAAAGTCAAAATAGAGGAAATATGTATAGAAATTGTAAGAAATTGAGATAAAATGAGTCTAGAACGGGACGGGGCAGGGCGGGCCGGAAGTAGATACCCATGCCGCGCCCCACGCTACTGCGGGTCGGGTAATACACGCCCCATCGCCGGTCAAGTCGGGTAATACCTGTGGGGCGGGTTGAAATTGCCATCACTACTTATTGGTTCATTATTGAGTCATGAAGAAGTCATCACACAAATGAACAAAGAGGACAATAGACGAAAAAAGGTTATAGCTTTTAAATCTCAAGAATATGATAGTGACTTAGACTATGATATAAGCGAAGAATTTGAAAAATAATTTGCTCTTTTAAGCAAAAACTTTCATCGTATGCTGAAAATGAAAAGGGATTTTCAAGCAAATAGAGCTTTTAATGATTCAAGAAATTCTAGTAAATATCAATCTGATTATAAAAGAGACAGAAGGATTTGATCGTTTTTCTTCTAGACAAAGTAATAAAAATCCTTCAAAAAAATTCTATTATGAGAGAAGCAGTCAAAGATCCTAAGATAGACCATCTGAAGGTCGAGAAAGGTTTAGACTAGATATGAAGGAAGATCCCAGGTCTTCCGGAGAAAAAAGATTTAACTATTTGTTTTAAGTGTGGAAAGACAGGTCACATACGCTCGAGATGCTCTCTAAACTCCAAAACACAAGAAAGTGCTCTTGCTGCTTCCTGGAGTGATTTTAGTTGTGAAGATGAACAAGAAGTCAAAAACATTGCTTACATGGCTTTTGCTTCGAAGGGGGAAAGTGATTCTCAGTCTTCAAGAAGCAATGATCAAGTACCACCTTCATGTATGGTAAAATATGTTCAATAACAGAAGGTACCTTTCATAGACATGCTAGTAGAAAGTATCAAAATAGTGATTCTGTTAATGAGAAATTCAGAAAATATCCTGTAATTTTTATGTGCTCTTTTTGCAAAAGACGTGGTCACCTAGCAAAGTTTTGTTATGATTTACAAAATCTAAAAAGGCCTACTGTATCCAAGATATTTTGGGTACCAAAATGTACTAATTCATATGATTGATTGCAGAGTATGAGAGAGAATGAGAACATATGATTTCTGGATAGTGGTTGCTCCCACCACATGACAGGTTAGAGGGAATTATTTTCATCTTTAACTTACAAAAAGGGTGGTAAAGTTGTCTTTGGTGATGACAAAGTAGGAAAAATTATGGGAAAATGTACAATTGGTAAAAGTCTCTTTCCAACGGTTAAAAATGTTTTATTTGTTCAAGGTTTAAAACATAATATTCTGTCTATAAGCCAACTGTGTAGCATTGAAAATAATGTAGTATTTGAATCTTCTTCTTGTCAAATCATTAGGATAAGTGATAATAAACTCTTGTTTAGTGGAACCAAGAAAAACAATATGTATGTTGTGGATTTAAAGTGCCTTGAGACTTTTAATGAGACTTGTTTCAAGCTGTCCTACATGATCTTGAAATGCTCTGGCATATAAAGCTAGGACATATTAGTCTGTCTAAACTGTCTAAATTATCAAAAATGAAGTATGTAAGAGGGATCCCTATTTTGAAAGAGAATTCAAAGTTTTTCTGTGATACCTATGCCGGTGGAAAACTAGCTAAAAAGAGTTTGAAGTTAAAGAAGGATATAACCACTACTGAACCATGTGAACTAATTCATATGAATATCTTCGGGTCTACAAACGTGGTAAGTCTTGGAGGTACGAATACGAAAGCGAGACGCCGGAATCGAGAAAGCAAGAATACGAAAGCAAGAATCGAAAAACACAGACACACGATTTACGTGGTTCACTAAGACGATGTGTGTTAACTAGTCCACGGGCGAGAGAGAGCCAGTTTCACTACATCGAGGAGATTACAGATTATAGAGGAGTATGAGAAGTATTTATAGTACTTCTCCATGTGGGTCTAAACCTAATCCAATCTGGCAAAGGAAACGGTTACAGACCAGGCCCGTAATCTGAACCCAAATAACATTGAGCCCATACACCGCGGGCCGAGGGCGTTGCCCTTGGACTCCACTCGCTGACCAGGCAGCGAGACCCTCGACTACCAGTCGTAGCGGCTGATAGTCCGATTCAAATCACATCAACAAATCTCCACCTTGACTAGAATCCTCTTCCTCTGAAATATCTTATGTACACTGCTCCTTCTCTCTCTCTCTCTCTCTCTCTCTCTCTCTCTCTCTCTCTCTCCCGCCATCAATGCCCCGCAGGGTGGAGTCACCCACTCAAGACATTCAGCAAGTCCAAGCAGTGTTGGAACTTGCCATGTGGAACCGGCTTCGTGAACATATCAGTAGGATTATCCGCGGTGCCAACCTTCTTCACCTTAATCCTCTTCTCTGTCCTCAAGAAATGATACCTCACGTCGATGTGCTTAGTCCTGTCATGGTCGACTTGATCCTCGGCCAAGCATATTGCACTCAAACTGTCGCAATACACCACTGCCTGATCATGATGTAGACCCAGATCACCAACCAGTCCCTTCAACCATATTCCTTCCTTAGCAGCTTTTGTCAACGCCATATACTCTGCCTCAGTAGTAGACAATGTCACCGCCGACTGCAGAGTTGCCTTCCAGCTCACTACAGAACTCCCAAGAGTGAACACATAACCGATCATCAATCTCCTCGTGTCAACATCTCCAGCATAGTCCGAGTCAGAATAACCAGACACCAAGCACTCTGTATCACTTCCGAAGCTGATCCTCACATCAGGTGTACCCTTAAGGTACCGGAAAATCCTCTTCACAGCCTGCCAATGCTCCTTCCCATGTT